AAAGGACTTCAGTAATTCAGCCGGAAGCTAAGGATCTATTACAGAAGGTAGATGAAGTCCTGACATCCTATACAATGAAGCAACAGACTAGAAGATCCTGATGGTCCCTTCTGACCTTAAAGTCTATGAGCTTTTCTGGTGGCTTTCTTTATCAAGCATTCAGTTCTTCAGGAGTGAGGGGGACAAGGTGTAGGGCAGTGTTCCCTGTAAGCACCTGTGCCACTCAAGAGATTCAAATGCTGCCCAGCTGATTACCAAAGTGCTCACAGCTACTGATACTTCTGCATAGTCGCACATGCCTTGGTGCACAAAGTTTATTCCGCAAACAGAAGGAAAAGATTAGAGGGAGCATTGATAGAGCGCAAAGTAAAGACTGTTATTAATAGTGTTAATAGGACAGAAATGCTGTTTTTCCCCTTTCCAGATACAAACCCTTTCAGTCTTTGCCGCAAAAGATTTGTTTCTAAACATACATGCAAGTTTTCATACTCAGAAGTGCTGCTGTATTGTTGGCTTTGCAAGCAACAGGAGCTTCTACTGGAATCAATTATGTAGGCACAGTGCTGCCTCCCCCCACCCCCAGATGTGGACTATGATGCCTGAAAAAGGGGACTTTCTGCATGTTGTTTGTAACCACGTCTGTTCCATGACTGGTGTATGTGAAAATAAACTAGTTCTGCTAAGAATATACCTAAGACTCCAAGGATTTCTGAAAACAGAAAGCAAACCCGCAATGTGCCAAATATAAACCACTACAAGCAGGAGGGCAACATGCTCCACAAGGAGAAAGAAAACAGCTTTATTGCGCTTAAATAGTAACCCCCTCAGGCATTAATTTACCTCCTCACTAGGATTGAGAGATTCACATCTGTGTTATTTGGTGTCAGCAGCAACAAGATACTTGTGGCAGAAGCAATACAACTGACCTGAAAAAAATCTGCATTTTGAATAGGTGGTAACTTATTTGAGAGACCAAAAGGAAAAATTATGTAGCACTTTAAAGACTAACCATCTTGTTAGTCTTTAAAGCGCTAGGTAGTTTTTTCTTTTGTTTTAGCAAGATCAGACTAACATGGCTACCTCTGTATTCTTTGAAAGAGTTATTCAGAGTAGAAAATCTGTGTATGGAGCTACATACTCTTGCAAATTGAGTTATAGTAAGGTCAGCATGAATTATGAAGATTAGAAGTAAAAATCTTTCAAAAAAAAGAACTTTAACTAATTGCTATGTCAATGTATAACTTCAGGAGTACTTCCATAGTGGTTCCTTAAAGGAAGAGGCAATTCAGTGCTTATGCTGGGTATTGTTCAGTATATTTGTTAATCAAGATACTAAAAAAAAAAGTTAATTCCATTTGTAATAAGCTTGTATGATTTGTTTGCAAGTAATGCCTTCAGAATAGAGCAAACACGGAAATATTTAGACAGTGTAATTTAACACACTTAACCAGCACACTTTAATTTTCTTAATTATCGTCAATTACAGTGTTCATATGGCTCTCTCTCACAGCCAAACTTCTACTTGATGCCTCAGTGAAGTTGTTACTCTGTTTAGGGCAGAACAGTCAGTCACCATTATCAAGTTATAAAATTATTCTCTTTGATCCTGCGGGGAAGTTATAAGAGTTAGGAAAAGAATATACAAAGCTTTGTTTAAATACAAACACTTTGGAAAACAGTTAACGCCAACTGTAAAATGTGGAAGGACATTTTTGTTTTCAAATCTTGTATTTTAATTTCATACTGATATGGAAGATGCAAAAATTCCCTTTAATCCATCTTCCATCATCATTACAGGGGCCCCTTTTCTGTAGTCCATGCATTAAGATATTTCCATGTCATTATGCAGGGCTCAAAATGAATATACTATTGTAACAGTTTGAAAAGCACCTCATCGCATTATAGCTCCAAGTCACAGCATAAAGGAATTGAAGGGAGACAGCATTCTCAAGAAAACACAAGTTAGATAAACAAGATTATCTGGGTTTATTAAAGATGAAGACTAAAGCGGACGTACAAAAATAACCATGAAAATTCATCAGCCCATTTATCTTGCAGTATTGGTAGGGATGTAAAATCCAGTGTAAAAAGTTAACAGGTTAACAAGTGCGGGGGGGGTTGGGGGCGGGAGAGAGAAGGGTGGCTGCTCCAACTAGGCTGGGCCAGCAGTAAGCAGTTAACCTTTTACATCCCTAACACTTATTTTCCATAAGTGGCATTTTTGTTTGCCTTATGTCAAGAGTACCTTTCCTCTAAATCTGGTTGAATGTGTGTTCCTGAGACACAGTGACCGGGCATCAACAGTGTAGATGAACAGCTTTACAAGCTTTCCCAAGGACAGTTGTATCAATTAATTTTAATTCTAAACATGCAACATCACTGTTCTTGCCTGGATGTTCTGTGGCATGGATTCTCAGCAGAACTAATGTGAGATTTTTTTCCTGTGAACAGAAGTTAACTGGTGACTGAAGTGAACCATCAAACTCCTCATTAGACATCAAACCTGATTTGAGCCCCAGGCTGAAGTACAGTGCATATAGTATTATCGCCACAATCTCCAGGAACAATAATCTGCAGTTCTGCTTAAATTGCGAAAACGTGATCTGAAAGTGGGGGAAATAATTTGATTCTAAGAGAAAACAGCTTTCACTTTTTCTTCACTTGCAAACAAAGTTTTATTTTTTCAGAAATTTCTTGTCATTAAGTAATTCACCTCTCCGAAGAAAATTCTTATGATTTATCTTCGCTTCTCCATATTCCAGCAGCGTCCTCCTTTTCCTTCTTTACTCTAAAGACAAAGAAGGAATGTAGCTCTAAAATGCCACATTTCACCTAGCTGTATCAGTTGCTAATCAACATTCTTCTACAACTACTCAAACAGAATGTGCTCATTCCCTATTAAAGTTCTTTTATGTGCAGGAAAATACAAAATGAGCAAGAGCTAGCCTTAAAAGACACTTTACAATTCTAGCTGTACACTGCTTGAGGCTGTCTGAATATAGCAAGCAGAACGTACTATAGAAAAAACTGATTATAACTCATTCTTACTCCATGAATTGTAGAGATGAAGTGTTCTTACTGTTGATTTTTCCTCTAGCAAAAGTTTAACAGGTTCACAGTATGTGCCATAATGCTTTAAAACAGAAAAGCTTCTGGAAAACCCAAACAAAAGGAACGTCACCAGGTGACGTCAGCCTATATACAGTTCTGTGTGGTCGCAGTGCATAAGCAAATCCATTCTTGTATCGTTTCACTGAAAAGCTTTTCAGTAAATGCACTCATGCTACTACAGGAGCTTCTCTCAGCAATAAGCCACCCATCTGCCATCAACAAGTTAAGACTAAAAGAACCCACAGCTGCGGAAAAAGAACGTGAGCTTCGATTAAGCCACTGAGCAGTCACGGGCGAAGGAAAAAAAACCAACAACTTATATTCAGCATTGATTCCACAATTACTGACCTGTCACATGAAATCAAGCCACTGAATTTAAAAGGAGTATTTTGAGAGCATGGTGGATTCAGTCTTATCGAAGGACACTAGAAAACAGTAAATTATTCAAAGGCTGTCTTACATTAGAGCCTTTTACAGACTCACTGTGTTGAGTCTGAAACTACGACTGAATGCAACCTCCAATGTACTCAAAAGAATGGGTAAGTTTACACATTTTTATATACCTTTTATGATGAAAACAGCTATGCTTTAGAAAGACAGAGGTACAGAAATAGATTTTCTGAAGTGAAGCCTTTTAAAGGCATGCTCACATTATCACTTGTAATTTTCATAATGTAGACAAAGCTTTGTATCAAGGACAGTATCTAAGGAGTCTGTATTTACTAAGTTTGTTAGTTCTTACACTGAGAATTAGCTTTTTAGAGATGCATGAAAGTGTAATCTGCAGTGAAATCTTTCACCATAATGTTCGTGCACATGATCTGATAAGAATATCCTATCTTGTTGTTTCCCTAAATTATATTCTGCAGGCTTACATTTCAAGTGGCCATTAGGGGCTCGTATGCTGGCAGCACTATATGCAATGAGTATGGTTTTAAAAATGCTGCCTGCCTTGGGCATGGCTTGTCCACCAAAATGTCGCTGTGAGAACCTGCTCTTTTACTGTGACTCTCAGGGGTTTCACTCAGTGCCAAACACCACTGACAAGGGCTCTCTAGGTTTGTCACTGAGGCACAATTATATTTCTGAACTTGAAAGGGATCAATTTGCAAGCTTCAGTCAACTTACTTGGCTTCACTTAGACCATAATCAAATTGCAACAGTAAGAGAAGATTCTTTTCAAGGACTGTATAAACTTAAGGAATTAGTCCTAAGTTCAAACAAAATATTTTATTTGCCAAACACAACTTTTAGCCAACTACTGAACCTGCAAAATTTGGACCTCTCTTTTAATCAATTATCCTCTCTGCATCCTGAGTTGTTTTATGGACTTCGCAAATTACAAACCCTGCATTTACGTTCCAACTCCCTGCGGACTATCCCAGTCCGCCTTTTCTGGGACTGTCGTAGTTTGGAGTTTCTGGATTTGAGCACAAATCGCTTGCGAAGTTTGGCTCGCAATGGATTTGCGGGATTAATCAAATTGAGGGAGCTTCACCTAGAGCACAACCAGCTGACAAAGATTAATTTTGCTCATTTCCTACGGCTAAGCAATCTGCACACGCTCTTCTTGCAGTGGAACAAAATTAGCAACTTGACGTGTGGGATGGAGTGGACCTGGGGCACCTTAGAAAAGCTGGATTTGACTGGAAATGAAATCAAAGCCATTGATTTGACTGTTTTTGAAACTATGCCTAACCTTAAAATACTCCTAATGGATAACAACAAACTAACTACCCTGGATTCCAAGACCTTAAATTCACTTACATCCATAACTACAGTGGGCCTCTCAGGCAATCTGTGGGAATGCAGTCCAAAGATATGTGATTTAGCCACATGGCTGAGTGGTTTTCAAGGTCGGTGGGAGCACTCCATCCTGTGCCACAGCCCCGACCACACCCAAGGAGAGGATATTCTAGATGCAGTTTATGGTTTTCAGCTTTGCTGGAATTTATCAACTATTGTTACATCCATGCCTACAAGTTACAGCTCTCCAACTACTGAGTATACAAAAAGAATAAGCTCATCACATTTCCACATGGGAGACAAAGAAATTCCAACTACTGCAGGCATAGTCGTTACTACTGAAGAACATTTCACTGAACCAAACAATACCATCTTCACTCAAAGGGTAATTACAGGAACAATGGCATTATTGTTTTCTTTCTTTTTTATCATTTTTATAGTGTTCATCTCCAGAAAATGCTGCCCTCCCACATTAAGAAGAATTAGGCAGTGTTCAATGATTCAAAACCACAGGCAACTCCGATCCCAAACACGGCTACATATGTCTAACATGACAGACCAAGGACCATATAATGAATACGAACCCACCCATGAAGGACCTTTCATCATCATTAATGGCTATGGACAGTGCAAGTGTCAGCAGCTGCCATATAAAGAATGTGAAGTATAATATCTACAATTCATCAAAAATAAACCAGATAAGTAACCTATTTTAAAACTGTAGGGGACCTACATATAATTCTAATTTTTACAAATGTTGACAAAGCCTAATTTTCCAAACTACTTATGGAAGAGTTGTTTTTGGAGTCGTGCAGTATTTAAAGTTTTTTTTTAATAAAACCATATTTCCAGTGTTAAAGCAATGATTACATTAAATTTGCACCCCCTAATGTTTGACAGTCTAAGATGACATTCACCTCAAAAATACGTATAATGTTTCCTGTTATGTAATTATATAACTATGTGTAAACATTTATACTTAAGTCTCCATAGTCTACTTTTTCTAATGAAAATAGTCTGGATGCAAAGTTAGATCTATGTATAGAGATCTCAGAGGGAACAGGCATTACATTTGTTCCATTGTAGTTATAGGATCACAAACATTTCAGTTGGCTCAGTTCACTTTTCGAGGTAGACTTGCAGGAGGATTTTCCTTCTGTGATTGTACATTTCAGAGTCAGACTATCAGTCAATACCTGAGAAGAATGGACAGGGGATTTTTCAAGTGTATTGGAGAGTGGTGATTTGAAATACTGTTTTCCTACCTCCATACTGACAGACTGACTTGCCTAAATGTATCTTTGCTAAAGCTCACAGCAAATTTACAACACAGCAGTTTTATACAAAGTGACTCTCCAAATGCTTACAAAGTACTCAACTGCTTGTGGAGGAAGGCTCAATACAATGCAATCAATTCAAGTATTACATGTGTTTAACTCTTATTAGATCTCTGGTTTGACTTGATAATTGGCATAGCTTTTCGAATAATTGAGACAAATTACTTGGGACTATGAATAAAGGGTATTTCAGCAGCTTCACCTTATGTGTCAATACCCTGGAAAGCAAATTTTTGGGTAAAAAAAGGGGAGTAGGGAGGGAAGAAGCCTCTCCTCCTCCCCACAGCAGTTCTCATCTTGCCTAGAAGCTATTTTCATGCACTAACAAGACTGGTTTCTCTGGAGACAGAATGAGCCCCTGCAATGAGCTTTCACATACCCTTTTCTTTTGAAACCCCCATTCGTCTTAAAGTCAAAGTAGTTAAACATTTTTAATTGTTCATTTGGTAAATCGTAATTATCTGAAAAAAACCAGTTTATTGAAAAATGTTTCATTTTATACTTTAAGTGATAATGGAATGGTATTTAAGGTCATATGCTATTTTCATTGTTTTTTAAATAAAAAAAGTTACCTTGGAAATTCATTTTCTTTTATGCAGAAGTAGCATGTGCTATAACACTATTATGAAATTAAATGTAAATACCTGGAGATCTATGCAGCCACAGTGGTATCAGATACCACAAATAAAAACAGAATTAATATTTTGAAGAATATTGCTCAAATAGTATAAACTTCAACCAAAGGGGCATTTCGATATACACATTTAAAAAGGTATTCTGTGTCAAATGCTGCAGTGTTAGAAAATTAGCAGCACATGCAGCTGAAGAAAAAATTTCTCAGTGTGGACATACCTTGAATAAATCAGTAATTAAATTCTGTGTTGTACCAAACTGCTAAAAACTTTTACAACAGTCACTGCATAAGTCTGTTAGCTTCTTATTCAACATTGCACCCCAAATAGTTGGTAAATATAATTATACAAGATTGTGTTTTATGATAAAAGGAATAGGTCTTGGATAAGTAGGGGGCTTCAAATAATATTTTTCATAAATATTTTAAATTGCTTTTCATATTTCCACATGCTTTCCATTACCTTTAAATTATGTGAAACTGCAGTGTCCCAAATTAGCAAAAAAAACAAATATACATTTTCTTATTCTCTGGGATTATGTATTCGGTTAAGCAAAGAACATTCAATAAAGACTAGTTTCCCATATTTTTAATCAACCAATATTCTGTTAGAACCAGAATACAGACTGATTATCTTGCATTACATCATCCTAACTATTACTTTGAGGCACATATATAATACCATGTATGCATAGAGAGGAAGTGGGTAGTAGGAGGAGGAGATACTGCATGCGGGATTTAATCCAAGAAAGAAGCTCATCTCAGTTGGAAAAAAACCGTAGATTTACTGGCACCAGGTATATTCAAATACTTATGATTAAGGATTTATTTCACCTTACACAAATATATTAAGTGTTTATGGCTCACTCTACGTCTAAGCTTCAGTCTTGCCCTCCAGTATGTTGGCAGGCATCACTTTTATCTGGTTAAAAATCTGTGCTATCTGTGCAAGCACAATGTATCAGCTATAGTGGTGTAAATTTTGGGATATTAAAGGGCAGGATCAAGCCCCTTGAACCTGTGATGTGCAGCCTTAGGTGCAAACAAATGTGTTTAGGAATTAAAATTGCTGATCTAATGACTGGAAGATAGCTAGTCTGACCCCGATATTTAAAAAGGGCTCTAGAGGTGATCCTGGCAATTACAGACCAGTAAGTCTAACGTCAGTACCAGGCAAATTAGTTGAAACTATAGTAAAGAATAAAATGGTCAGACACGTGGATGAATATAATTTGTTGGGGGAAGTCAACATGGTTTCTGTAAGGGGAAATCAGACCTTACAAATCTGCTAGAATTCTTTGAGAGGATCAAATACATATGTGGACAAGGGGGATACAGTGGATGCAGTATACTGAGATTTCCAAAAAGCCTTAGACATGGTCCCTCACCAAAGGCTCTTAAGTAAAGTAAGTGGTCTTGGGATAAGAGGAAAGGTCTTTTCATGGACTGAGAAGGAGTTAAGACAGGAAACAAAGCGTAGGAATAAATGGGAAGTTTTCCGAGTGGAGAGAGATAACTAGTGGGGTCCCCCAAGTGTCTGTCCTGGGACCCATCCTATTCAACTTATTTATAAATGATCTAGAGAAAGGGGTAAACAGGGAAGTGGCAAAATTTGCAGATTATACCAAACTGTGCAAGATAGTTAAGACCAAAGCAGACTGTGAAGAGCTTCAAAAAAATCTCAGCAAACTAAGTGATTGGGCAACAAAATGGCAGATGAATTTTAATGTTGATAAATGCAAAATAATGCACATTGGAAAACATAATCCCAACTATACATACATAACTTAGCTGTTACTGCTCTCAAGAAGGAGATCTTGGAGTCACTGTGGCTAGTTATCTGAAAACATCCACCCAGTGTGCAGCGGCAGTCAGAAAAGCAAATAGAATGTTAGGAATCATTTAAAAAGGGACAGAGAATAAGACAGAAAATATCTTATTGCCTTTATATAAAACCATGGTATGCCCACATCTTGAATACTGCCTACAGATGTGGTCGCCTCATCTCAAAAAAAGATATATTGGCATTGGAAAAGGTTCAGAAAAAGGCAACAAAAATTAGGGGTTTGGAACGGGTCCCATATGAGGAGAGATTAAAGAGACTGGGACTTTTCAGCTTGGAAAAGAGGAGACTAAGGGGGTGGGAGGGAGACAGAGATGATAGAGGTCTAGAAAATCATGACTAGCATGGAAAAAGTGACTAAGGAAAAGTTATTTACTTGTTCCCACAATAGGGGTCACCAAATGAAATTAATAGGCAGATTTAAAATAAAAGGAAGTTTTTCTTCACTCAGCGCACACTCAACCGGTGGAACTCCTTGCCAGAGGATGCAGTGAAGGCTAGAACTTCAACAGAGTTAAAAAAAGAGCTAGATAGATTCATGGAGGTTAGGTCCATCAATGGCTATTAGTTAGGATGGGTAGGAATGGTGTCCCTCGCCTCTGTTTCTCTGAGGTGGGAGACAGAGGAGGGATCACATGATGATTACCTGTTGTGATCCCTCCCTCTGGGGCATCTGGTATTGGCCACTGTCGGCAGACAGGATACTGGGCTAGATGGACCTTTGTTCTGACCCAGTCTGGCCGTTCTTATGAACATTCCAGCAATGATGGGTAATCAAAGTTGTGCGCGATACCCTCACCCAGGAAGTCCAGGATTTTTTTCTGCTATACCCAGCTCCTAACATACCTTCTCTTTATCCAGTGTGTGCCTCCTGTGGGAATGTGTTCCAAAAGTGACTGAAATACTTCACTCCAGCATGAAAAGGGAAACAGTGGAGTGGCACGATGTCAGTCATGCTGATGTGGCTATGCTGCTTTTGCTATTCCACACAAGAGCCCTTATTAGCAGCCATTTTTAACAGTTTACCATCAGGATTATGGAAGGTTAGCAGGCTTCCAGCCTACCTGACAAGCAGGGCTATGTCTAAACCCATTTCCCTTGATTGCTCTCCAACAATATCCAACAGAACAAATGTTTGCCCCCAGCCATTAGTAACCACCCAGGTCCTTTGCCTTTAGGATTTCAGCACTCTGCCAGACCATTAGAAACCAGCTTTCAGACAAAACATGCTTTTTTAAACCAGTACTCTAGGCTCAGCTTTGCCCAGAGATGATAAAGCAGTAAAGCACCACACACGATCAATCTAATGCAATGTAAACTGTGAAAGTACAAGGTTGATCTCCCAACTGTCTCAGAACATAACTGCCACCCCCAAGCACTATTTAACCCTTGAAATTGAGACTCAACACCCAATATATAGCGACTGACCATTGGACCCCAGGAGCAAATATTCCACCCAATGTAACGTGTGTCACAATCTAGATTAATGTCAAATGCTGGCAATGAAGATTTAATCTTATTCCCCTAATGAGCAGTAAGTAGTCCTATGCAAGAACTCAACAGGAGAAATTCCAAGCAATTTGTTAAAATTGTTTTCCATTCTTAACTCTGTGGCTCCAGCATCATAATCATTTTCTTTCATTGGCAAAACACTTGATTGGAGTTTCTTCCTGAGCACAAGCCAAAACAGCTTGGTTTAATTTGTGTTCCAGTAGCAAGACAATCTATGCTCCATCTTTTGGTTGTTTGGTCTACATACTAATGTACTGCATGCAATCATAGCACCTATCAAGTTTAGTCAGAATTCTAGGCACTGTGCACTTTTACACTCAATTACCATTTGTGTAGATAGTTTAAGAATGTCTTGCCTTCTTCCAGAGCATTCTCCCAAGCCTACTCAGCCTCTGCTCCATTCTCAACCCCAATTTTCTCATTGCTCCTCTCCCTTACACCTCAGTCTGTGATATTTGAACCCAACAACTATATCCATTTTAAGTCATAGTACTTGAGTGGATCAGAAATAAGAAAAGAACAAGCTCTCCCTTCTCCAGTACTTCCACTGCAACAATGGATTCCTCCCTGTCCCACCCCCATTTATTTTTAACTTTGAATAACTGCCTGATAAGGTGTGGAGTGAGTCAAGTGTTTCTGTACTACTTGATAGTGCTCAAGCAACAGGAGGTTAATATTGTTATCAGATTCCAGGCTACTGGATCCACAAGCATTGGGGGACTTAACTAATTTTCATCTACTGAAACTTGTTTATGTGCAAATCCAAATGCGTGTGTCCACATTGAGAGCAAAATATCAGCTTGCTTTTTAAGACAAAAATCTGCACTAACAACTGTTTCCTAGTGTGCCTAAGTTATTTTTTGTACTACTTCAATTAAATGAAAGTTGAATATTGTAGTTTGAGTAGTTACACACTCATCTGTTTATTAAATGTAATATATTCAGAAAACTAGATTTCATCTACAGAAGTGATTTCCACACAATAGTGAAAGTCCAGAGAGGGGAGGAGTCGTCTCTCCTTCAGAAAATAAAATCCAGTGAGATTTATTAGTACCACCAACTATATCTATAGTCCACAAAGTTCACAAACAACAAGCTTTCAAACCTGTTATGTAAGTATATAAAAGGCACCATCTGCTACATTTTCAACTAAGCTTTTATGATGGTAAAAAAACGGTTTTTAAACGTTAGTGAACTTTTTCAAGTAACAGACCAGAGATTAAAAAGTAAAATCCTAAATGCATTGTATTCAAGTCATGATTAAGAGCCATTTTCTGGTGGAGGTAAAAATACATAATGGAATAAAATGAAGTGCAGTGTATAGAAAGATTGTTATTAAAAAAATGTGTATACTGTAAAACTGAATTTGCCTCTTTTTTCCTGCCTTTTCAAAAAATATCAAGGGGTGTCCATATTTATGGGAATATAAAATTAGTTGTCATACGAACTGTGCTCTTAAGAGTCACACCACTTCACCTTTGAGGTTTCTAGTCAGTGTTCTTTGAAGGTTTGGTCAGTCTGTTTACTGTACACAAATTATGGGGCTTTCAATTACACTTTATGGACTGAACAAGTCTGAGTTTCCATCTGCACGAAGAGTTCAATGTTTCTTTATTGAGTCTAGAAAGTTTCTTGCAGAGGGAATATGAGTTACTGCTCATGCAAGATGACAGATTAATGGCTCTGGAGACTCAACCCTTTGTACTCATCTATTTAATATACAACAATACCTCCCACGCATCAGAGTATTCCTCGATCATGACCTTGGAATAGTGATCTACAAAGTTGTGAGACTAGTTCCCTCCCTATTCTTGTTCAGTCCTTAGAATCTCTACTGCCACAACCAATAAGCAATGGTGCCAACTGAAGTGGTGGTTAATGCAGACAGGACTTCCTGTGAACTAAATAAGGACAAACACCACAAATCATTTAAAGATAGTATGTGTTCATGGTTTGGTCTAAATTGTGAATTGCCACCAAGCAGAACTAGGCATGAACTGCTGACCTCAAAAAAAGTTCCACGCTCCATTATCATTCTCATAAGTTATCCAGTTCTGTTTTGTATAGCTTACTTGTAGTGGTTCCCTCAAACAGTAATTATGAAATCGACAAAGATGCTCTTCTTCCATCATTTAAAGAGATTCAGAGTTAGAGGGTATTAAGTACTTGAAGAAATGTTAATAACTAAAAATCAAGTGAACTTAAAAGTTTACTTTACCTTGCAAACAATGATCTACATAGTTTAACTATAGCTACACTTACTTCAGTAGAACATTCCCTTAAGGAAAAATTTGTATGTGCAAAATAATGAATAAATTTACTTTAAAAAAAATGCAGAATATCAAGATGTTTACTAAAACTGGTTCTAACAAGCCCCTAAATTCCTTTCATCCTTCAAAAAACTGCATGACATTTAATCTAAATCAGTACAGAAACATAAATGGAATATTCAGAATTTTTTCATTTAAATCCTCTAGCATGTGATAACACAAATATGGAACTTTATGCACAATATTATTAATGCTATTTAAGAGATTTACAAGAATACTGCAGAACACCAAACCTCTGGCCAGAAATTCTTCACTAACTCCTAAAAAGGGAACTGCAATTTGAAAATTGCAGCAAGTCTGATAACATGTTGAAATACCCCTGTAATCAGGATGTAGGTACATTCAACACAAATCTTTATCATTAAAGTTTCCTACCCCAAGCTTTTACATCAATTAAAATATGCACAGACAGAATGCACTGTGTCACTGATGCTAAGAGTCATGTTTTGCTACGTGGAAAAAGGGCCAAATGATGACCACAC